CTGATTCTGTGCCATGTCCTATTCTAATTATAAACTACTTCTTCCTAAAACAGGGGAACCTTTGGGTGATATCAAAACACTTAGTCTGACAAAAGCTATCTTGTGCTATCATGATGCAAGCTGGTCCCCTTATATTGTGTTGTAATCTCACATAAATGCCCCAAAGAATCAGAGCTTAAGATATTCTTGTAACATTTTAAACATTTGTTTTTGCAGGAAAATGCACCTTATCCCTTTACCTTCACAAATAGAGAAGACAAGCAGGTATATGAAGTAGAAGCATTCAGAGCATTTAGCAGACTTTTAGAGTGAAAATGAAATTTATTTTATTGAAGCTTTCCATTAGAATGTCACCATGTTTGCTTCTTGGTATGTTATAATGTTATACCACATATAGCCTATTCCCTCCTGATTTTAAAAAAAATAAAATCTCATGCTGGTTATGTGACAATAAAAAAGTTAAGTACCTGCAGGCATAAATAGAAATCCATCTCAAACCCTGAGATTTCACTTTCTCTCATCCCTACAAATTTATTTCTACTTTAGCAAATACCGAACTAGTTTTTATATATAAGCTAGAAGCTGTATTTCAAAAGAAAGTGATAAATCAGCCAGCTACAAATTTTCTGTGGTTCTTTCAAGACATCAAAAATTATGGATTTCTCAAGCATGAGAATTGATTTAAAGAATTATTATACAAGCCATCCATGAAACTGTATGTTTCTTGAAAAAAAGTAGTTTGTTTTAAAGCAAGAGTTCTTGATTTACACATATTGACAAACTGGGAACCTGGGAAGAATAAATTGAATTCACTCATACGGCAGGGGCGGGGGAGGGGAGCAAGGGATGTAAGACCACAGAACACTTTAGTCTACTTCTTTTGTGTTTGTATGGAGATGCTGCCTATTTTCCATTAAGTAAATAAACTGATATGATTTTATCTTCTTGTAAAAACTATATCTTTCTCTCTGTTTATTAGTTTATAGTATAAAATACAAAAATACAAAAACAAATAGTAGGAAAAATAGGGGCGGGAAAAAGGAAGGGAAAAGTGCAGAAAAAAGGGAAAAAGAAAGAAAAGGCATTGACTTCCAACTCCCTTTGATGAAGTAAAATAAGTTAGTAACATCAAACCTCAGCTTTTTACTTTTAAATAGTAGTATAAACTATAATTTTCAAAGGCAAGATGCTTTCTCCTTTATTTCCATTAAGATGTGGTGGTGCCAGATTTTGTTATCATATCGATTTGGAAGAAAACTCTTTCTGTTTGAATTATTATATATTAACCTAAATCCCCTATCAAGATTATCTTGGTTTACAATGTTCCTTCTCATCCTCTGCTCAAGTTTGTTTCATTTTTCTATTGTCCTTACCCTCCATCCACGTGATCCAAATTTTGCTTTTCAATGGAGAGAAAGAAATACAAAAGAAAACTTAAAAATGATATAATACCCAAAAGGCAATATTCAGTATGGGTATGTGTGTGTTTTAAAAGCATCACATCTTAATTAACTTAAATTTCAGCAATTCCAAATTAAAAGCTGTTCTATTTTACTCCTCTGTGTGAAGTAGGACAGGTTGAATGGGTCGACCTCACTAATAAGGCAGTCTTCTATTAATTAGAACCCATTGAGGAGGAGGTCATTTCTTAAACCTACCAGCCAACTTTATGAGGATCATAATAATTGATTGCAATGGAGATTCTCTCATTTAACATGGTGAATATGTTGCAAATCTGTACTAGACTTGATATGTAAATATTTCATGTAAATTTGATATAATAATACATGGCTTCACGGCTGACAAATTCAGCAAGAGTTTAGAGAAGTATTGTAGCAACTTGCCAGCAGCAATGCCTATGGGATAAAGATAGTGACCATACATGTTTTGTATGCTATATTCAATTCTTTATTTTTCACACTCTCCACAGCCCCTTTGTCTCAACCCGTCTTTCCTCCTCAAACACCTTGTACTTGGTGGTTCCTTCAGGTTTCAGTTTTTCCCACCCTGTCTGCTAATCTGACCTTAGTAATGCTACTCAAAGAAAGAAAAGCTTTGTGATGAAATCCCTTGAAATGGAAAACAGGGTAAATGTTTCCATTGTTGTTGTTGCAAGATCAACAAATCTGGGTTAGGCCTTTTCCTGCTGCTATATATCTATCCTCAAGTCAGCATAATATTACAACATACATAATTTCCAAACTAATTCTGCCTCTTTAAATGGCAAGGAATTCAGAAACATGCAAAAGCCATTAATGCAGAGCCTTTTAAAGTGGAGTAATTGATGTAATGAACAATGTGTAATTGCTTGTTTGTAAGTCAAGGAGCCAGTTTGAGGCCATTACTATAGAGACACTTGAGCCTGGGTTCTTTTTTGGTTATGGTTTTTACATTATTTAAGATAAAGAAAGGGGATAATTGAGAGAAACATTTTGAGAACCACTGCATTAATGAGCAATTTTGAGACATGAATGTCAAATATTTATCAAAGAAATAGAAATGTATTTGCTGTGGCAAGATGGGTGGCAAAGAAATTTAATAAATAAATTAAATAAATAAATATTACATGACATGCACATGTGTGAGAAGGTAGGCATGGAAACAGAGAGTGCTAAATATCAATTAGAAATGTATGTTAAGTTCTGTTTCACCATCAAACTATCAAACTAATCAATGGTTGTCAACAGTTTGCAATGTTGACCATTTCTGAAATAAAACAACTATTTAGTTCTGATTGTATTGTTCAAATCTTTGGGGAGATTAACCTTAATTTGTGCCTACTTTGGAGTTTGACAAAATCTGTATTCCAACTTTTTCTTTCTTTCTTTCTTTCTTTCTTTCTTTCTTTCTTTCTTTCTTTCTTTCTTTCTTTCTTTCTTTCTCTCTCTCTCTCTCTCTCTCTCTCTTTCTTTCTCTTTCTTTCATTCTTTCTCTTTCCTCTTCCTCCTTCTCTTTTACTATGTGGGTTACCTCTGTTACCTTCATGAGTATGCACTTTTTGCTTGAGATAGGGAGATCAACTGAATTCAGCATCAGAAAAAAGGATAGATTTTTCAATAAATGTGCACATTTATGCACACAACAATGTTGTCATTTCCACATGAAAAGGCCTTTGAGAGCTGACTATGCACAGTCCACAGTAGTTCACTAATTTAATGCCCAGCAAGATGTAAATTTCAGATTTCCTAAGACTCCCTTTCAGCTTGATTTATATTTGTTACAAATATACCTGTTTATTTACAGATATGTAGATATGTTTATTTACAGATATGTAGCATTATCTTGGGAACAAATTGGCAGCTTATAATTCATCAGTGACCTGACTATTCAGGAACTGAATTTAGTGAATGAACCAGATTTATAGGAAGCATTTTTTTTTAAAAAAAAAGACTGACTTGAGGAGATGTTATTTGCGTTGTACATCTAAGTTGATAACTATGGACCTACAAATGGCAATGTTCCTTTAGGGAATGGAGATGATAAAAAATTGACTACAAAGCTGCAAGATATATTGGAATAAAATGAGAAAAGCAAGAAAAAAATTAAAAGGATGATAATATTTCTTGCAGAGTCTTCGATGCTATCCATACTTGTATTCACTATTTTTTTTCACTAGAGTAAAAAGCAAAGACCTAAAGCTCTGAATGTGATTATGTAATAATTTAATCATGTTCACTTTTAATAAATTTATCTAGCCCCTTGGTAAGCAGTTAAAATATTGTCTGTTAATCTAGATGGATTTTTTTTGATAAATTTGAAAAACAGTTTGATTTGTTACTTGGAATCAGGACCAATGAATCTGAAGGGATTTATTAGTTAGCATACATACATACATACATACAGCAATAGCACTTAGACTTATATACCGCTTCACATTGCTTTTACAGCCCTCTCTAAACAGTTTACAGAGTCAGCCTATTGCCCCCAACAATCTGGGTGCTCATTTTACTGACCTTGGAAAGATAGAAGGCTGAGTCAAACTTGAGCCAGTGAGATTCGAACTGCCAAACTGCAGGCAACCGCCAGTCAGCAGAAGTAGCCCGCAGTACTATATTCTAACCACTGTACCATCACAGCAGATACATACATACATACATACATACATACATACATACATATATACATATATTAATTGAGAGACACTCAGGGTTGGTTAGAAGACAAGCAGCTATATAAATGTTTTAAATAACTAAAAATATTAATAGTAGTAGTATGGCAGTGAACTTTCCTCTCCACTTCGTAGGGTTTTGTGTTTATATGTGAAATATTCAGGGAATCTTTCAGAAATTTGTGGCATAGGGCTATTGTTGGGTAAAATATTATTGGATAAAGGCTTCCTTTTTTCAGTAAAAGGCAGAGAAAATGACCCCATTTATTGGGTTTAAAACACCTTACGATTTTGCTATACATTCCTGTGCCACTTTCCTACCTGAGCCAAAAGAAATGTATTTAGTAAGCAGCCCATTTTTTTTTATTTAAGAATCAAACTGCTCCTTGAAGTTGTTATACCTCACTAAATGACTGGAGTTTGGGGAGGCATCGTGCTGGAGGTGGTGGTGTCTGATTAACTGGATTTATTGTTATTTAGACAACAGTTATTAATGAAATGGATGATAAACCAGTGCAAAATGATGGTAGTATACTGTAGCCTGAGGGAGTTCAAATATCAAATCACTACAGATAGGGGCAATTCACCCAGGACAAGACTGATTCAGCAGTTGTATTTACCTCAGGTTTATCTACATATAGACTTACCCTTCATCAAAAACAAGTTAATGTAAATTTGGGGTTCAAGGTTGATAGAAATACTAATTAGCATTCCTATGATCAAAATTATTTGAAATATAGCTTCATTGATTTTCACTTAAGGGCTGATGAAGATAGAAAGTAACAGATGAATATCTGGAAGGCTAATTGTATTACTGCTCAAACTAAGTGTATTGTACATGTGTTGAATTTATCAATTCATAAGTACAATTAACTGTTCTTTTTCCCCACAGATACCCCAAATCAGTTATGCTTCAACTGCACCAGAGCTAAGTGATGACCGGCGTTACGATTTCTTCTCACGGGTTGTTCCTCCAGATTCCTTCCAAGCACAGGCAATGGTGGACATTGTAAGAGCTTTGAGATGGAACTATGTTTCCACCTTGGCTTCTGAAGGCAGCTATGGCGAAAAAGGCATGGAATCTTTTATACAAATTTCCAGAGAGTCAGGTAGGTGAGAAATCATCCTGCATGTAATATAATATTATGTAAATTAAAACTATAATATTTTATAAATAAATACCTCAGTTGTATCTGTGAATGTGTGTATATATGTGTGCTTCAGAATACTTTTTTTAACAGTTCTGTATTTTATAATTTTGTTTCAAAGGTCCTTCAGACTGTTCTTGACTTTTTTAAGAATTTTCAGATATAAGGACTAAACAGCATTAATACTCTGTTAGGAAAATATAGAACAGTGAAATTGAAGCGAGTTTCTGACTCCCCACGGTTAGAAATCTTATATTTTGGAACAATGTTCAAGCAAAGGTTTAACATATTGAGTCTTTATTTCTTCAAGTCAGGAGTACTTCTGAATCTGGTAATTTGTTAGAAAACAAACTCTGTGTCAGATAGTTCTTGTATATTTTTCAAGTAGCTTTACATTTTTTTTAAATTGGATGGGCTCTCTTAAGAAGGAAATCTCTTGTTTCTGATAGAGGGATCAAATGCTATCACCTCTGAAATAGTATTGAAATAATCCTGAGATTTGTATTTTGGAACCTAAAGAGGTTCAGAATCTTGCACTTTATATTCAGGGACTGTATAGATGTCCATGAAGGTACTCTCTCACTACTCCAACATTTTCAAATAAATCTATGATTTTTAAATGTTTTTTTTTGCTGGAAATCTTTTGGATTTAAGGAACTTCTCCTACATTTTATTAAAATGCTCAAACAAGTTTCTGTAGCTCATTCTGGAATTAGTATACACTCTTTTACAGATGTATACTATAATCTAGATCAGTAACTGTGGGAAAGCTCTATTCCGTCTGTGTTTATTTGGTGTTGTGAAGAATCTCACTGATAGGTCCCTGACAAATTTCCAAACAATCCCAGAATACTTTAGAACATATTTAAAAGAACTAATATAAAAATATGTAGTCTGTTTTTCTACAATAGAATATGTCAGTTATTTAATGTTTGTGAAAGAGATGATTCTGGAATATCCCAGGGTATGAGAAAGCTAGTCTTTTGTTAGTTCAAATTCTTAAAATATTTGATAGATTAACAAATAAGGATACATGAAAAGAAGTGATTTAAGTGAAAGGCTTTTGCTGTGGTTATTTATTATTGCCTTACTAACTTGAGACAACAATAGGATGCATTTTGATTAAATAATTCATTGTATCCATTGTGTACCAATAATATTGGAACAATAATAATGACAACAGTTGAAATAAAAAAGAAAATGTTCACGGAAAATAATCCAAAACTGGCATCATTCACTAAAATATCATAATAATGGTGAAATATATATAAAGCACATTCATTGTGTTGTTGAGGGTGCATTGTATCACATGTAAGATCACAATAATTTAGTGGGGAAAAAAATCACTCCTAATATACCTCTCTAATTTTGCTTGTTCCTTAATTACAAGGAGGACAAATAGAATTATATCAAGTGCAGGAAACATCATAGAGTATTGTGCTTATTTGCCATTGTAATCCAGTAGTAATCTAGATGGGAAGCCATTCATCTGCCTAAACTGGAAAAGAGGGTATGCCCAATTTAGTGAAACCAAGGTTCTTTGAAAGTTATTGATGGATATAAGATATAAATGACTGAGAATCATTGCTATACAACTGATTTGTGACTGAAACATATATTACTTTATTAAATACATTATTTTCCAGACTAGAGATAGGGAACTTGTGGTCTTCCCATTGTCACCAAAATGCAGTGTTCAGCATTACTCATCTTTGGATTAGTTGTTCTGAAACATTCAGAAGGTCACAGGTTTTCTACTCCCAATTGAAAGCCTTTGAAATAAATGATGTTAATTCATTTCTTCGGCTAAAGATTTTGTGCTAAAGTGAACTGGATTAAGCAAATACATAGTATTAGATTACAAATTCTTATTAAATATTTATCAGATAGATTTGCTGTCAAATGAGATTTTTTAAATCTAAAACAGTTCATATGAAACGATAAACTTCATGCAATATCTGAATAAGAGATTATTCTATTTGACTGATTATTTAGATTAAATGATCAGTCAGATAGCAGCAGAAACTAAATTTTTGGTCTGCCTATATTATCCATATATTAAAGAGCACCTCCATAATTACTAATGCTATAAACTGTCACTGAGTAATTAAAAGTATTCTATTCTTCATTGTAATCCATGTAAGAATTGGCTTTTGTGGCACTGCTGCAGTTTAAAACAGAATTCTTTATGAGAAAGATTCTCTATGATGGTAATCAATAAAATGTAGGTATTTGCTTGCATTTTCCTATTTGTCTGGATACATATTTATATAATATTAGATAGGGAAAATTTCTGAGATTCAATGTCACAGCAATGGATGAAACCCAAATGTGGATTAATAATGGAAATACAAGTTTATCCATTTCCAAAGCTTTTGCATTGATGAGTTGTGCACATGTATAACAATTGCCTATTGATTAAGATATCTATGTAAAATTATCAACATATCCAATAGATCAGGGGTTTGCAACCTTGACAACTTTAAGAATTCTGGGAGCTGAAATCCACAAGTCTTAAAGTTGTCAAGGTTGCAGACCTCTGCAATAGATGCTGATACTAATGATTCAACCATATTTTCAATATGCATTTTATTAATTTATTTAGATTGAAACAATGCTGAAAAAATGTTTCTAACAATGTTAGAAAAAAATTCAGTTTTAAAAACATAATCTTTCTACTTAAAATAATTAATGAAACACTTATAATGCTTAAGAGTTCTGGAATATTTGGATCTTACGATTTTTAAATGACATTAACATCAGCTGGCCTCTAATTAATATTCCAAGTTTCAGCTTTGATATTTTTTTTAAAAAAAATCTCTATTCCATGATGGATTCATTGTCCCATTATATTGTCTGGGCTCATACACAGCACTTATATCATCTGTTTTTGGTTTCATGCCACTTGTGATCTTTCTAATTGTGGCTTAAAACAGGCTCCTATAATTTGTCCCACAAAGCAGAATTAAATATGCTGTTTTAGTGTGATATGTGAATATGGGTATTCTTCTTTTCTACTTATTTTATCACACTTAATGGCTTGGAGATTAGATATGTACTGTGGGATAGGGCATCTTGCTTCCCATCCATGAAATATTATTCCACCAATTCCTTCTCTTCCAATAGGTTTTTCAATGAAAATTATGGTATACAGAAGTACGTTGTTATATATCATGATATGAAAACTCATTCCAGATTTGTTTCTAATTAGAGACTTTATCCCAGTTCATATTGATGATGTGATGATGTTATTCATTCTGTGGTGTCCAGTTCTTGGCAATTCTATGGGCAGGTCTCTCCACATCTTCCAATCTTGCACTACTTCCAGTCCAGATTGGTATTGCCCAATGTTTCCTCTGGGTTGGATAGAATGGCACACTTGGGGAATTGCACAAATCATGAAGTAGAAAGGAAAAAAGTTATATGTGAGAAGTGCAAAAGCTGATACTTAAGCAGTGAACTCTGAATCTCTAGATCATTTGTAGATATATTGTCATCTTCCATGGTGATGAAGGACTTTTATGATGGCATTTTCTCTGTCATATTTCCTTCTTCTAAATCTTTTCCCCTCTGAAAATTCCTGGCAGGATTATTTCCAGAAAAGTATCCTTGGCTCAGAAATCCTGATTTGGATTGGGAAAACTTAATAGATTTCTTGCACTATCATATATCAGATAATAAATAGAAATCTAATAGCTGCACCTTCTGTTTTCTAGTGAATTAAAAGGCTAGGGGCTGCCCTCTCCTTCAATCTACATCAAGAGTCTTTATGCCTTGAATAGGATGGGGGGGGAAACTCCACCTCTATTTTCTGTCAATTTTCTGGACAGATTGGAGGGAGATTAAACTGATCTTCATGCTGGCTTCAGGCCTATTTTGACAAAAATGGTTCCAAGCAGTATAGAATCAGTTTCCTCTGGCAGTAATGGTTAAAAAAAAAAAAGCATAATACCAAAAGAGCTACTTGTGAAATATTGTAATGTTGTATGTAACAGCAAGCTGCTATAGAAAAACCAATCATTTAAAGGGATAAGCTCAGGGCTTTTTTTCTCATAGAACACCCAGAACGGAGCTCCAGCACCTTTTTTGGATGGAACCTTGTAGGGTAGGCAAGACGGGTTGTATGACATGTGTGAGTTCGGGCATCTTTTTTTTTTTTTTAAGAAAAAAAGCACTGGATAAACCATTGCAATTTCCTTTCTAATCTAACATTGCAATAAATAGTATTTAATATGTGAGGTCAGGGCTGGATTACAAATGTTGAGACAGTGCTTTTGTATAATATCCTTAACAAGAATTTAGCCTAGTTTGTGGAAACTTAAAAAAATGGATTAACCATGGATAAGCATGTCACATGTGAGCTTCAGCAGTGGAATTGGAACTGGATCTACAATACTAGGAAGAAGAATGGAATGGGCAGAAATGGATATAGAATAAAAGTAGTTTCTATTGAGATTTTCTGAGGAATTCCAGCTATTTTAATGATTAGGATGAATGTTTGTCAGGGGATGCTTTTATCTGTCTAAATCTGCCCTATTTATTGTTGTATTCAGTAAACTGTGGATGGTACCAACAAAAATTCAGAGCAGAGTGGAGCAATTTGGGATTTTTGAAGATTGAAGTTGACATAGAAATCTTTCTCTAAATTGCTTTATGACTCTTTCAAGATCCTCCACAAAGCTACTGTGCCACTCTATAGAAGCTGGGAATATACTGAATGAAAAGGAAGCATCCCCAGTCGAACTAGATAAATAGATTGGTCTGTTATATGTTGTTTTGCTTTTTGGCTTCCTGGTTTTTCTGTAACACTTTTATGGAAGTGGTGGGTTCAGTATCTGACAAGACCACTTTGAAATTTCAGTGATCATTGCAATCAGACTGCCATCAGCTGCTCTGGTCATAGCACCCTGGGCACAGCAGTGGAAAAAATGTGAAAGAACTTAACTTTTTTCTTACCTCAC